AGGCGATGAGAGAGAGAGAGAGAGAGAGAGAGAGAGAGAGAGAGAGAGAGAGAGAGAGAGAGAGAGAGAGAAGAGAGAGAGAGGAGAGAGAGAGAGAGAGAGAGAGAGAGAGAGAGCGAGGGAGCGAGAGAGAGAGCGAGAGAGAGAAGCAAAGAGAAGAGAGCGAGAGAGAGCGGAGAGAGAGGAGAGAGAGAGAGAGAGAGCGAGAGAGAGAGAGAGAGGAGAGAGAGAGAGAGAGAGAGAGAGAGAGAGAGAGAGAGAGAGAGAGAGAGAGAGAGAGAGAGAGAGAGAGAGACGGGATGAGAGAGAGAGAGAGAGAGAGAGGAGGGAGGAGAACGAGCGAGAGAGAGAGAACGAGCGAGGAGAGAGAGAACGAGCGAGTAGAGAGAGAGCGAGAGAGAGAGAACCGAGCTGAGGAGAGAGAGAACGAGCGAGAGAGAGAGAACGATGCGAGAGAGAGAGAACGAGCGAAGAGAGAGAACGAGCGAGAGAGAGAGAACAAGAGAGAGCGAGACGAGAAACAAGCGAGAGAGAGAGAAAAGCGAGAGAGAGAGAAACAAGAGAGGATGAGAGAGAGATTGAGCGAGAGAGAGAGACATGAGCGAGAGAGAGAGAATGAGCGAGAGAGAGAAGAACGAGCGCGCGCGCGCGAGAGAGAGAGAAGAGAGAGAGAGAGAGAGAGAGGAGAGAGAGAGAGAGAGAGAGAGAGAGAGAGAGAGAGAGAGAGAGAGAGAGAGAGAGAGAGAGAGAGAGAGCATATATGAACAAGGGGCACAAACACTATCTCACAACTACAGACATAGATACAGAACCAAACAATCAGCTTAACTGAAGTCAGTTTGATCCTACTGCTCTTCACAAAATAAAAAAAAAAAGTGTTATTCTGATACTCATTGAACAACCATTTCAATTATCTTACTAACCCTCTAATCTCAACATATGACCCAACCTAACCAACAACCATATCACTTTTCTGAATAAATGGTGCATGGACTACTCTTCTCAGTTCCCAATATCTTGAGGGCAACTACAATTAATGAACAAACATGAAGCCTAGCAAGGAGGACAAAGCAGCAGTGTCCACAGGACAAAATGCTACGACCATACAAGGCACGGGGCGAGGTAAATTGTTAGGAAGGTTCCAAAAACCATCAGAGTTCACATCTTCACCTAACACCTATGTATGTTTCACAAATCCTCTTGAAAAAATATTGGGGTACCTCCTCCACAACAAATCCTTAATGCCATATGCAAACAATAAAATACTTTTAAATCATAAAATCAGAAATCAGAAAAAACAAGAAACTAATTAACAAAAAACTAAAAGAGAGCTTTAAAACAGTAGCGGACATCTGTAATATCTTGCTATTGAGAAATTCTGCATAAATAAACATGCATTGTTGAAAATATAAGATATAATATCAATGCCTAAAATCTACAAATACTTGACATTAGCAACAACTTATCATAGCTGGAAAGATGAGGGGATGATGCCCAAATGACTGACTATGCATGACAACTTGATCATAGCTGATGATGATGATGAGATGATGATGATGATGGATGGATGATGATGATGATGATGATGATGATGATGATGATGATGATGATGATGATGATGATGATGATGATGATGATGATGATGATGATGATGATGATGATTGATGAATGATGATGATGATGATTGATGATGATTGATGATATTGATGATGATGATGATGATGATTGATGATGATGATGATGATGATGATGATGATGATTGATGATGATGATATCAACAATATCAATACTATCAATGATATCAATAATACTAACAACATAAATAATAATAATCATCATCATAATAATCATAATAACAATGATAATAATAATAACAATAACAATAACAATAACAATAACAATAACAATAACAATAACAATAATAATAATAATAATAATAATAATAATAATAATAATAATAATAATAATAATAATAATAAATATGATATGACGATGATGAATGACGATGATAATGACGATGATGATGATAATGATGATGATGATGATGATGATGATGATGATGATGATGATGATGATGATTGATTGATGATGATGATCATGATGAAATACATTATTAATGATATCAAAAATACTATCTATAATATCAATAAAAACATTAATAATAATCATAACAGCAAAAGCAAAATTCACGATGATGAAAATGATAATGATGTCAATGAGGAGTATAACGATGACATTGACAATGACAATGACGGTGATGACGATGATCACGAACATGATGATCATGATTATCATGACCATGATGATTATGATGATCATGACAATGAAGTTGATCATTATGACGATAGAGATGGGGATCAGGATAATGAAAAAGGGGAAACAGATGAAATAGGCAGTACTAGAAATTGGCTCACTGGTGATTCATCACTTGTGTAGCTATCTATTTGGAAAAACAATTATTTGGCTAAGCTCACTGTGACATGCACGTACATGCCAGCCCAGTCGGTAGCGGATTAAATTCATGAATTTACACTGAGATCAATCACAGAATTTCTTAAAACCATATATACGAAAACTGCTCATTACTAATCAGTAAGGAATCCATAACATATAAGACTATGGCTTGATAGTCACTCTGCCTACCATATTTGATTACTACACGCATGAAGGTCACCAAGAACAAGTCTCTCTTTTAACTGAACATAATGTGGAAAGTAAAAAGGCATCAGAAGAAATTATCAATAGCACAGTCCCTCTTGGAGGTTACTGTTTTGCACACATTTCATTAAAATATGCAATATGATCCTACACAGAAATATAATCTAAGAATAAAAATAAAAACATTTACCAAAACCTTTTCTCACCCAGTTATCCATTTCTGTAGACCTTCTCCCTTATTATGAAGTTCAAAAGCATACTTCCTTATGTGATAAATCCCCTATGTATTATTTCTGAACACTGAGAAGATATGTATGTCCATTTTCTAGCTTCTAATGTAATGGTAATTCAAGCTAACACTATGTGATGAGGACAAAGTGTGGACGAGTTTAAGCTGTGTAAATTTGACGTATCTATGCTCATTTAAGCTAATCCATGTTACCTAAATATTCAGTAAACACATGCCTAACATGCCGAAACAAAACTGATAAAATTAATACGATGCTATATTCATAAATTCCTCAAATAAACTATCTCCAACTGTTTTGCAGGTTAAGACTTCAAAAGATCCCATATACTATAATAACAAAAATGTATCTGTAACATTCACAACAAGGATTAAAAACTATAATTGCACAGGAAGCAAGATCATTTCACATACATGCACATCTTTCTAAGAGTAACTGCTAAATATTCTAAGGAATCTCATTATAAGCACAGCTAGACTTTGAATCTAGGTGATATAAAATTAAATGAATTTAACATCATTTGAAACTCTTCCTCTAATACAATTAAATGATTTTAGTTAGCTTCAACTGATGTTTTCTTTCCTCTAAGTCAATCACTTTTACCTGTTTTTCAATGAATCATATTTATAGCAGTCCAAACATCCTGTTATGCCTTATAGTGATAATCACTATCTCCTGCTCTCCAAAATATGATTTTTTTCTAGAATCAATTATTTCTCACCATCTGGTAGTCATCTTTATCTTTAGGACTATTCAACTTTCTTCTGCTTTTCTATATGACTTGCTTACAACATATGTCAATCATTTATATTTTCCCTCCTTTTTGACCATGCTTTGGTAACACCTAGAATCACCCATTATTCTATTATACACTAATGGAATTACTTTAAAATTATGAGAAATATCCCCCAAAAATATCCTCCTCCTAACAAGTCATACTGCATTGTCATGTACCTCTCCTGGCCTCTTCATCAACTCTAGTTATATTATCTATAACACCCTCTAATATATGTTGCATACTTTCTACAGTGCCATTTCAACCATGTGGGAGATGACTTAATCTTAAGAATAGGTATGTGCAAAATAATAATCAACAAATTTTCAAGAAAACTTAGTCAACAAAATTATTAATAACTAATGTTTATAATGATAAGCATGACAGAATAATTGAAAATAAAATAGAAATGAATGAAAAATTTGTTATTACTATCACTCAGACAAACATATCTAATAATATTAAATCAGACTAACAGGGAAAACTAACCAATTCTATATAAATATGAAATTAATTGATTTTTCAAAGGTGGAATATATTTGGGGGGAAAGGTTTGTTGGCATAATATCTACAACATTCAAAACAATGATTATGAAAACATTCAGAATGAATTAACTCCTACTCAATCCAGAAGACTTACACTGGAAACCACATTTGGAAGGTTGCTGCTGCTGGCTGGAGGAGGCTGGCTAGCGTCAGAAACTGCCCCTGCAGCAGAAGTCACATCAGGTGCTGAAGATGCTCCAGCTGCTGCTGCTCCCATAGAACCCACAACATCAGCAGCCTTTTGGGCTCCAGAGATTGCTGGCTGCGGAGTTAGGGGTGACCACTGTGAGCCAGGTGGTGATGTTAGTTCAATGCCTGACAAGAGGTCCAAGTTTGATATGCCTGAAGTTACAGATGAAACAGAAGGGGCAACGGAGGATGTGGCTCCAGTAGCAGGTGGTACCTGCTGTGGCTGCTGCTTCTGTGGTTGAAGGGGTTGTGGCTGAAGAGGCTGTGTTTGTGGTTGCACTGATGGCTGCTGAGGCTGTAGAGGTTGAACTTGTGATAGTTGTGATGTTGGTTGCTGTGGTTGATATGGCTGCTGCTGTGACTGAGGATGTGACTGCTGAGGTACAGGTTGATGCTGAGGCTGTTGGGGATGGGCCTGCTGCACCTGAGGCTTCTGAGCCACTGGATACTGTGACCTGAAACTGAACTGGCTGGTGACAGTTCTTGACTGTAAGGTGAACTGCTGCTGCTGGCTGCTGTGGCTGATTGCCTGTGGCTTTGTGGTGTGCTGGCTGTTGTGGTTGCTGTGGCTTGCTGAGTGTGGCCTGATGTGAGCCATACTGTGCCCAGGTCTGATAATTCTGATTATACATCATGGTCTGACTGTAATGAGTATTAGTTGCATTAGCTGTTACTACAACAGATGATGGATAAGCTTGAGAAGGCACTGTCGATGCACCTGTCTTAGATGTGGTAAATGTAGCTGACACTGAAGGTGCTCTGTTTGCAGAACTCTGGGTGCCATATGTTCCAGGACTTCCTGCTTGGCTGCTGCTGATGGATGTAATGCCTGACTGTGGATAACTTGCATACATGTTCCATTGTGACTGTGGCACTTGAGTCCCTGTTGTAGATATGGGCACAGCTTGAGAAGTTGCTGTTTTGGACTGTGGATAAGCTCCTGCTGGGGTACTACCACTTGCTGAACTACCATATGCACCTGTAGCAAAGTTTGATCCAGCAGAATTCTGGTATGATGCATCTCCTTGTGTCCCAGGGTGTTGGTTGCTATATGGTGATTTGGCATAGCCGGCATAAGGAGTCTGGTTTGAATATACAACACCTCCTGATTGGTTATTTGAGTCTGGACTCATATTTGATGAATAATAAGAGCCTGCCTGACTATACATTGCAGCAGGTGCAGGGCTCGTTGCCTGTGCACTTGGGTACTGATAGGAATATGGAGGATAATAATAATTGCTACCACCTGCTGTAGTTGTAGGATATGCTTGCTGAGTACTTCCGGCAGAAGCCGATGTAACTGCAGTCACTGCTGTAGTTGGCATGGCAGAAGTCCCAGATGGTTGCTGATAATACCCATAGTAATTCTGACCCATGTTTCTTGTGTCCTTCTGAATCACAGATGGGCCTCCTTCACCTGTGCTCCCGGCAGCCCTTGTTCTTCCCACAGCTGTACTACTGCTGCCGCTGGCGCCTGATGCAACACCTGGTGGGTAAGTGGAACCATAACTATATTGATGGGCCTGACTATGTGCTGCCAAGTCAGTATGCTGTGGAGATGCTGTGGCTCCACTATGTTGAGTTCCACCACTAACAGCTGTTGATGTATTCACAGAAGATGCAGCTCCTACACTCTGTTGTCCATAATAATATCCTCCACTATATCCATACTGAGGCTGACTTCCTGCTTGGCTCATATTATAGATATTAGAGGAATGAGCACTGCTAGCTGTGTTATATGGAGTGGCTGATTCACTAACTGAAGCTGTTGCTGTTGATGATGCAGTAGCACCTGCTCCCATACTAGAGGGGTAACTTACTGCCGATGCACTGGCAGAGTATGGAGTAGCACCCATTTGCTGACTACCATAATAGTGACCTGGTGCACTGTACGCTGCAGTTGTAGTGGGAACTTTATATGGTGAGCCAGAGGTCTGAGGGGCTGGGGAAGGAACTGGGGAAGGAGCAGATGGACGGTATGCTGCTGACTGGCTAGAGTAATTTGCTGAATATCCTCCAGCTTGACTACAGGATGTCATAGCATCACTCTGTTCTGATCCCAGTGGAGCAGGCCTCATACTACTGGCATAAGAACCGCTGGGGTCATGATATCCATACCCTGGATGCACCTGTGGCGACACTCCAGCACCAGCTGCCGGAACCACACCCGCCATCCCTGGGCCTCCCTTCATATGCTGTAAGAAATCCTTCAGCTTTGGCCCACTTGTGGAGCTTCCTGGTGCTTCTATGCTCCCCTCTCTTATAGGCTTGGTTGGAGGCACACCACCTGTGAACTTCTTAACATTTGCTGAGAGCATCTCCTCTCGCTCCTCATCCTGCACCCTACAGACAGACTTAACCCTAGATGCAAGTTTGCTCACTTGTCCCTCCAGCTTATGGTAAAACTCTTGAGCATCTTCAGCTTTCTTAAGTATATTGAGGTACGCATTATACGATGCCAACAGAGACGACAGAGTCTCTGATCTCTGTGCCTGGGCCTGATTGGTGAGGCGACGGGTGGTGGCATAAGCAGCATTGGCCTCTGAGAGAGCTTGCAGGATATTGGCTTGGGCAGTCATATTTTTTTCTAAACCTAAAACCTGTTGGGGGGTTGGAACAAAATGGTGGTTATATAATATATACCCAAAAATGTAATCAGGACTTATTTCTCTTCCTGATTTCATTTCTATTTGTTAAATGTTTTATTCTTTTCTTAAACAATTTGTATACTGCCTTACTTGACAATTCCAAAAACCCTGTCCAATTGATGCCATGAGAATATGTATACATGCTATGTCCACTGTGACTGTAGTTTATCAATTTTCTTTACACAGGTTCCACAAGTGCTTAGTAACCATGGAGTCAATTACTGGGCCCATCTGATTTTATGTGTTTACCCAAGTCTTTGAATTTTCAGAAAATTATGCTTCTTTTTTATACCATTAGCAGTTATAATAGTACAATAATAACAATGTTAGTAACAATAGCAATAGTTACGGAAAATAACTTTTTATCCAAAAATTCAAAGAATGGGGTAAAAAGATGAGGTCATTTAGCAATTAATACTGAACGAAAGTGGACAGTGCATCTCCCTAGCACCAATGGGTTAACTAAAAAAAATTGAGACCCTTCTATTCTATAACAATATATATTCATATATTCACCATCTACCCACACCCTTGATATAAGGGGAAGAAACTAACCAATCTGTCATGCTTTTTCAGTTCATTCTTGAAGAACTCTTCAGTGTCATCCTGGTTGGTCACCAACTGCTTTGTGATATCATCGTTCTGAATGTCTGTCCTCAGTTGAGACTCTAGCTGTGCCCTTTGTGTACGCATCTCCTTTACTTTACCCAATAGTCGCTTCACCTCCTGCTTTGTGGCCGGGTCACCTTGAGCTGAGAGAGCAGATGTGTGAGTTTCTTTTTACTCATATATTTATGTGCAAATTTTTCTTTTCAAAGATTTTTTTGGGGGGATGCTAATACTAGGACAAAAATTATGTAACAACATGCACTCTGACTTGCTTTCAAATCCTTACCTTTATTTGCATACATGTGAACTAAATTCCATTCCTGAACTCACCTTCAACACTGGCCACAGAGGGGATGGCAGAAGCTACCTGGTCCAGAGGTTTGGTAAGTAACTGAAGGTTGGCCAAGTGTGATGTTATAGCTCTGTGCAAAGCTGTGTTGTTGTCCTGGGCACTCTGATGGGCCTCTCGATATTTGTTGGCCTCGCGCTTGAGCTCTCCCACTATCATGTTCGGGGCTCGCTTTCCCATCATAGCAAGGAACTCCTTCTCTTTCTCCTCTTCTTCCTTTTAAAAGCATACATATAAAGTGAAACCTTTTTCTTTTTTTCATTTATTAAAATGACCTACTCACCAACTTAAATGAACATGAATATTTCATAAAACAATATTTACCTCAATGAGTCTGGTGATCTCCTTGAGAGAAGCATTAATATCATGATAGAAGCTAGATATCTTTGCCATGATATCTGTAAGCTTCTGCACACCATTGCTTGCACTGAGATCTGCACAGCATTCAATCAGTTCCTGTTTGAGACAGACAAGATATCATCAAAACATTTGACATCACTCCTACATGACAATTTTTTTTAAATGTATTCCATATTTTAATTATCACTACTATTATCAAAACATATAAAAATGATATATCTTACCTGGGGAAGGTTTTCCGATCCTGTGTCTAGTGTCAAAGTGTCTAACTGCATGGAAGCCAGGTAACTTTCTAGCTCTTCATTCTTCTCCTGAATAGATGACCCAATTCTTCGCAACTTTTTTTTCCTCACTATTGGAAGAGAGAAAATATGAGAAAACTCATGTCAAATGCTAAACTATTCCAGACACTTATTAACACATACCCACACATATGCACACAATTAAACTTACAAAAGTACATACAATCTAAGATACAAATAATATCAATGAAAAAAAAATAATGATAACAACTTCCAAGATAAACTAAAGTATATTACTTCACAGTAACAAATCTTCCCAGAAAGCTTACCTGTACATAGAAGAAGCCTGATGAGCTTCCATGGGCACAAGCTTGATGAAGATGTCTTGGCCAGCAACTTCAGGGTCTGTCACACTAAAAGGGATTCCCTTCACTAGTGACGCACCCTTGACTTCAGGCAGCGTTGTGGCAGCAGGAACCTTTTCATGGTACACAAATTCATTCTCCTTCTGGGCTGCAGTTAGCTTTCCTCCCATCACATCATGAGAGAAGGTAAGACTCTCTCCTATCAG